AAGATGGGAAATCAAATCACCACCCTGCATTTGGAGGGGAGCGCTCTGAAGGAAACAATGGAGGTTGAGGAGAAGCAAGATTGGAGAAAAGCAATTCATGAACTATTACAAGGTCGAGTACAGGAAGGAGACAAACAAGAAGTAGAGAAAACGACCCGATATTTGAGTAAATACTTTGAAATCGAAGGAATCTTGTATAAGAAATCGATGAATGGGCCCCACCTGCGATGTGTTTCTGAAGAAGAAGGGGATCATGTCTTGAGAGAGATCCACGAAGGATGTTGCGGGTCGCATGTAGGATCGCGAGCTCTAGCAGGCAAAGCTCTTCGAGCGGGCTATTACTGGCCTAGAATACGGAAAGCGGCCGAACAGCTGGTACAAGCATGCGATCGATGTCAGCGCCATGGTCAGATTCCCCATATCCCAGCCGAAGCAATGACGACTATCAACTGTCCAATCCCTTTCGTCCAATGGGGAATCAACTTGGTAGGACCACTGCCGATGGGAACAGGTCAAAGGAAGTTCATGGTAGTCGTTGTCGACTACTTCAGCAAATGGGTGGAGGCGGAACCTCTGGCCAAGATTACCGAGGACAAAATGATACAATTCTTGTTCAAAAATATCTGCTGCCGATTCGGGATACCAAAGGTCTTAATCTCAGATAACGGAACACAATTCCAGGGAAAGCGAATTCAAACATGGTGCCTCGACATGGGGATTAAGCAGCGGTTCGCTTCCGTCGCGCACCCGCAAGCAAACGGACAAGTCGAAGTGACAAATAGAACCATCCTACAGGGATTAAAGGAGAGACTGGAGAAAGCATCTGGCGCTTGGGTCGATGAGCTACCGAGCGTCTTATGGGCCTATAGGACGAACCCGAGGAGTTCGACAGGGCAATCACCTTTTCATATGGTGTATGGGATGGATGCTTTATTGCCTATCGAGGTTGGTTTAGATTCGCACAGGTCAATGTTCTACAAAGAAGAAAGCAACGATAAGTTAAGGGAAGAAGCCCTCGACATGATCGAGGAAGTACGCGAGGAGGCTTGGTTACGATCTGTGGAGTATAAACAAAAGATGCGTGCAGCCATTGATAAGAAAGTGCGAACCAGGCGATTTCAAATAGGAGACCTCGTACTAAAGAGGGCCGATGCCCTGAAGCATGTCGGGAAGCTAGAAGCAAACTGGGAAGGGCCATACACAGTCACCAAGGTACTCGAGAGAGGCGCATATGAACTTGAAGATATAGAAGGACGACCACTGCCGCGATCTTGGCATGTTACCCATCTCAAACGCTTTTATGCTTAAGTAATGTTCTCAAATTTGCTTTTTGTACTGAACCACGATCAAATCATATTCAGTAATGAAATGGATTTTGAATGTACTCTTCGAAGATGTCTATATATTTATTTGTTTTCTTACATAATTGTTGGATAAACTGAATGTTTCAAAGCGGCTATATCGCCGACTAATCATGATGACTATAAAAGTCGACTCAAGCAACAAAGGTTGCATGCCTCGAGCGAAATCTCGGCAAGGCTAAAAAGCCCGACTAAAAAAGTCGACTCAAGCAACAAAAGTTGCATGCCTCGAGCGCAATCTCGGCAAGGCTAAAAAGCCCGACTATAAAAGTCGACTCAAGCAACAAAAGTTGAATGCCTCGAGCGAAATCTCGGCAAGGCTAAAAAGCCCGACTATAAAAGTCGACTCAAGCAACAAAAGTTGCATGCCTCGAGCGAAATCTCGGCAAGGCTAAAAAACCCGATGTTGTGTACAAATTATTTTTATTTTACCGAGCACCGAATCAAATGATTCGTTTCCCGGGTCGATCTCTCGAGGAAGACTGTTCGGAATCTAGAATTGGTGTTGATAACACATAAAAGAAAAATAAGTCCTACACATTCTAATCATGATAGAGTTGGAAAATGATTAACTAAAATATTAACTAATAAATAACATAAAACGATAATCTATCTAAAAATATAAATGATATAAATATAAAGATGCTAGGAAATCGGGAATAAATATTTGAATCGAAATGCAATCATCGGCTCGTGATTGTTCGGTTAAATAATTCGATTCACCTACACGTTTAGAAATTCATCCTCAATACCTTTCGGATTATGAGAATAAATATAAACGGTAAATTAACAAGTTGTTTAACACCTAGACAATACCTTTCGGATTATGTCTATTTTGTATGAGTCTCGATCAATTGACCTCTCCCCTTTCAGTTCAAAAGTCAATTAAAATAGACTATAGGATTTTTAGTCGTCTAGTCTATTCGGATAGTGATCGTCACAATAGAACACATCATATTCAATTTGAAAACAAGTTTAACATTGAAGTGTCACTCTTCAATACTTAGAAATCAATTGCAAGGTTGAATTGTCACTTTTCAACAATATGTCATTCCAAAGTAAAAATCAAAAACCGAATTTAGAATTAACTCATACAAAGTGAGTACGATAATCACATACGAAATCAAATATTCATCCCTATCCCTAGCAAATGATTTAGCTATTCATATAAAAAAATAAACTCAACATAAGATTCATTGCAAATTATCATTACAAGAAAAATAACTTACAAGTAATCCAAGTCGAGAAATAAAGTTGATACAAACGCCAAACCGAAAACAAATGCACGCCACACCGGAACAAGTTCAAGCCTTGGAGAACACCTCCAAAATTCACAACCAAAAGAGAAACTAATCTAAGACAACATATAAGAATGATGGTAGTGGTGAGGATGATAATATTTTGGATTGTGAGGGATAGATGTTGGTTAGATGATGGAGCTATTTATAGATATATCATCAACCATAATCCACCAACATCAACCACAATTTACCAACAATAACCACAATTCAACTAAAAATCAACCACAATTCATCTACCAAAGAAAGAATGAAAG